CTCCGCGAGCGAAGCGCCTCCTATTCAGCTGTGTGCCGCCGGCACCCTGACGTCACCAGTGGCCAGCGCCGTGACGTCACCGGCGCCGCCAGCACCGTTCGGGAAGACGAGCCACACGATCTATCGGGGCATCGATACCGCTGTCAGCAGGCGCACAAGAGAGTGGGCCGGTGGGCGGTTCCGAGCTGGTGACCTCGGCCGCTAATGCACTGGACGGCTGGGTGCGCTCGCCTCTTCATCTCAGCCCGGCGGGTCCGCCAAGGGAAATGACACCACCGCCTTACCCCTTGGGAGAGGACAGGCGGGAGGTGCTGCCTGTGCCTGGGGGGGCTTCACGCAGCGAGCTCTTCCAAGTTGTTTTTACGAATTGGGGTTGTAAAATTTGCTGTCATTGCGGGGGGGGGGGCTCCTTATGGCGCGCGTTTTTCGTGCTTCGCCATAGATGGCTTTAGACAGAATGCTAAAAACCGGCGTGGTGCGTAGAGCTCCATGCACCTTCCATGAGAACATCCTGGCTGCACCCCTGGTTACATGCATGAGTGAGCTTCGTGCGTTCATGCATAATGCACTGTGACATCCAGCTTATGATGTATTCTACATTTTCTGTTGATATTTTAAGCACCAAAACGACCATCGGTAGTGAACCAATGTGGTGCAAGTTTAGGGTCACTGGTGTAATTGGATTCTCCCTTATCGCCTTGCACACGCCTCTGTTAATATGGTTAGCTTCATGTATTCTGTCATTATAACGATCTTGATGCGTGTAAACAATGGGCGGCGGCCGTGGTTTGCGGACGAACCTCCAAGAAGACCAAAGACCAAGACAACCAAGTCATCATCAAGACCAAAACCAAGACGAAGATCAAACTTACCCACGTAAAATAAGTAGAATGCAAAATCAAAATTTCTGTTCTTATTGTGCTAAACATCACCCGTCATTCTGCAACATTTCTAGATTTGTTTCAAACTTATTTCGGTAATGGCTGGATTTGACGCTTCAGAATGGCTTGAGGTCTTTCTGGAACAACTTTTGGATAGCTTTGTGCAGAATATGAGAAATACGTCATTCAGCGAATGCCCAAAGCCCTATACTGATTTACTCAATCGTAATTATGCTTCTAAATCTTACGATGCTGCTAAATGTGAATGCAAAAGGAAGACCAAGCCTTCTTACGCTAAGCTATAGCTCAAACGGATGAAGTAAATGACGAAGTTTTTGGTGTTCTGGTGCTCAAAATAACTAACCTGCAATGTACCAGGAAGCACTGACCAAAAGAAGAGCGCTCATAATGACAAAAGACATGACAATGCTGGAAGGGTCGATTATTCTCAAAATGGATTTGAATGATTTCTCCATGTCTTTCTTTAACCAGTGCCGCCCGACATGTTGAAAGGCAGTTATGTCCATTACAATAAATCTGCATAATCTGAGGCACCAGAAAATGCGAAAATAAATGTCTTTCTTCCTCAGATCATGAAGAAACCCGTATGGAATGAGGTTTTACTTTTGTGACCTGATCCGTTGCACCAAAGGCCACATTTTCAAACATTTTACGCAGTTGTACAAGCAGAACCCAACATTGTTTTTCCCATTCTCGTACCACGGTTTGCTTTCAGGTCAAGCCCAGGATAAACGAGTCGTCACCGTCTTTGCACTCTTACCGATCAGGCGTGGCCGGCCAGTCACGAGTCACGGTTTGCAACAACGTTCGTTGCAACAGGTGTTCATACCGACATGCGGTTTTAGCAACAAGTAGTTAGCTGTGTTAGTGTGTCGCCAAGGCATTTGCACGCCAGCTTTCGATCGGTTGTCGTTTCCTGCTACATTGCAATAACATCACAGTTCCACTTAACCCATTCCGTTGACATGGCGAGAGAAAAATTATCAACTTCAGAAAAGGCTGAGGAACGCGTGTGGAAATCGAGCAAATTAGGCATGCATCTCGGGCGTCAGGAATCACAGCGACTTGAGACCAACAGGTCCTGTCAAAGCAGGAGCAAGGTCCGCGACAATGATGAGAACCTGGGTCGATGCATGCAATCTGTCCTACCCTATCGTGTGCAGACCATGCATCCGCCCATGTTAGGACACTTTTTAGGGACTAGTGTTAAATCTCGGGAGCCAGGCACGTGAGGACGTGAAACCAGCCATGCGGAAGGGACCAATGGAACGTTTACAAATACTGGAGCGATCTCGGCACTGTTAAAGCCACCGGTAATTAGGCCGTTACGTACGCCGGTAATTGGCTGGGGCTCTGCCAACACCATCTTTCCGGCAAGCAGTCTTGGAATGGTGTGCAACAGAAGCTGCACAGGCGTGTAGGACAGGTCACTGGGCGATGTCCGCGTACAACATTAGCGTTTCCCATTGGTGAGACCATGATCGCAAAGGTTATAAACCACCCCAGACCCATCCATTCAGTCGATTTAGATTGCCAGGCCTAACCAGGACCCAAATCAGCCAGTGCTGAAGTCAATGAAGCAATAAGAATTGTAAATTTGTGCGCACACGCCAACCATCAGCTCAGCTCTGCCTGCTAAGCTCGTGACAGAAGATATTCAAATGCATGTATTCGGCATATTCATAGAAGTGCCCAAAGATGACGCATTCCATTCGGGGATATTTCGGTGTCATCTGGATGGTGTTACCGCGCACTTCTGTTATCACTTTGCCTGTCGCCTGCAGCAAAAGGTGTCCTAACGGCAAATACACAAGTAAATGTTAGGAACTTATTTGGCCAGTACTAAGAACATCACGTTTGTACAGCTAGGGACTCAGGGAATCAAACCAAAAGAAGCCAAATAATCATCTGTTACGCTCCCAATTCTCTCGAGCAAAACATCGATCAAAAAGCGGCGATTCCGTCACGCGGGCAGCACTCCAGGCGATGAAGTGCTTCACGTCCTGCACCAGCTAGCGTCCTTCCGACAGCGCGGCTTCGAGCAGCCCGAACGCCAAAAGGCCGCCGTAGCCAGCACCCGCTCACGCTGAAATTATCGGAGCGTATCTGCGCCTCCCGTCTGAATTTCTGTTTTTGCACACCTCCACCTCCACCTCGGAAGTCGTTTGCCCGGCCAGATGTCAGAAAGCTTTCTAGGGCCGCTTCAGCCCGAAGCACCGCAGGAAGTTTGCGAATCAGCGTGTTCGAAACACGGAAGAGCGCTGTTTGAGGAGGGAGCGGTGGTGACAACCAGCTGTGTGGTTTCAGTGGGCGGCGCTGGGTCATTTTCGCTGTGCGGAAGGAGATGGACGGAGAGAGATGGGGAAGAAATCGCAAGGGGAATTGAGGCGAGCAGAGAGAAACAAAGACACAAGCTACAGGTCGATATGCTTTTCAGTGACTCTTTGTTCTCAGATGCCCAACGTTGAAAAAATCAATGTCAAAAATAACAAAAGGCGTGGATGGCAGTGCAGGTTCGCATAACATCGCAAACGGCTGCAGCATTCACGGAATGTAATATTCCCTCCCGTGCCTTAACGTATTTGATTACGCTCAACATACCCAACTTTTCTCCCCGTTGCATCGCTCCAATTTGCCCGATGTGCCATTGTTTCATCTCTCCGTGGAAATTTTGACATAAATTACGTGGAGCATTCGATGTTTCCGTCGTTGTTACTACAGCGGACCGCGAGCACTCAGAAGCAGAGTGCTCCGCATTCTCTTATTCTGATGGTCCCAACAAAAGGCACACTGCCAATATCCTGTAGAACAAAGACACAACGGCACTCACAAAATCTCGAATCCAATATACGCCGTCAAGACACAGTCTGTTCCGACCCCTGAATGGCCGCTCGTGATCGTAAAAATGTTCCAATGGGACTATTCCGCGGCCCGTTTCGCATAAAAACTCTCAATTTGTCCTCAGCCCAATAAGTAGGCGTCTGCCTTCAACGGTCCCCTACAGCTATGGCAGCAATATTTTAGCCGAATGTGCGGAGCACGAATAAAAGCGGTGATAATGTATCCGCTGATAGCAGCATCTGGTTGCCACCCGCGCCGCTGGATCCGTCCGAGGAGAAGACGGAGGGAGCGTCGGGCCAATATCGGCACCCGTCTGGTTCGGCAGCGGGGCGCGGCTGGCTGCCTGGTGTCGCAGCTTCAGCCGGAGGTGCGGCTGTACTGAACACTGTGCTGGTTCCGGTCGGTGCCGGCGGCGGGGCTCCGAGTCTGGGGGAGGGTCGCGCTGCCTGCTGGTGACGCGCGGCGCTCGGAGCTCATCACTTTGCTGGCCATCACCAACCGAAGACGCCCGGCCGGTCTCATCCGGCCGGTCTCAATACCGCTGGCCAGTCTCATCCGGTCGGTCTCAGTACCCCTGGCCAGCCTCATCGAGCCGGTCTCAGCACCGCTGAGATCTCACCGCTGAGAGCCGGTCTCAACACCGCTGGCCAGTCTCATCCGGTCGGTCTCAGTCCCCTGGCCAGTCTCATCGAGCCGGTCTCAGCACCGCTGGCCAGTCTCATCCGGCCGGTCTCAGTACTGCTGGCCAGTCTCATCCGGCCGGTCTCAGTACCGCTGGCCAGTCTCATCCAGCCGGTCTCAGTACCGCTGGCCAGTCTCATCCGGTCGGTCTCAGTGTCGCTGGTCAGTCTCATCCGGTCGGCCTAAGTCCCCTGGCCAGTCTCATCGAGCCGGTCTCAGCACCGCTGGCCGGTCTCATCAGCCGACCAGTCGCAGTACCCAGCAGCAGTGTACCGCGATGCTCAGCCGGCAATGTCTCGGCGCCTGTCGATCAAGCGAGCTCCGCCAGCTCTGAGCTCCCCCATAGACCCACCGCCCCTGGATCCCGTTGTACGCTGTACGATGAAGAGCTGTCTGGCAGATGGAGGCAAGACCTTCTCGGCTGTTTCATTCCCATGCGTAAGAGTTATTCGAGGTCAGGAAAAAACTTTCGGTGAACGTTCAAATCTACACAAGATTTCCAAGGTTAATTCGGACCTTTCCTATGCGTTCAAGTCCGGAATCCCGCTACAGTTTCTGGTGAAGAACCACACTATGTTCCATAGGGATATATATTCAAAGCTACAGCTTACGGATGAGTTTGTGATTAACAACGAGGATACCGTAACAGTGTATACACACGATCAGTGACGAAGCACCCAGAATAAACATGCAAGCCATGCGAAATAATATAGAAAATTTCGATGCAATCCAAGGCTACGTAAGTGTACAAAAAAGGCGAGCACTACCAGTTACAAGGTAAAACCGACGAAATACTTCGGACGCATGCAACAATAAAACATAAGGTACGACAGTGCTCGCAGGAACAAAATTATTCCAAGAAAAAACAGCCATCGCGCCAGACCATCGATGCACCTCTCTCATCTCGCAGCCGTCGGTTACTTATCGCCAAATCCATCATAAGCGAACAAAACGGCCACGTGACCATCTGGCTTCGAACGATGTGGGCACAACCCGCAACTAAAATAAAAAAGAAGCCCCCTGCGGCTAACGTGCAATCGGTCATTAACCTGAGTGAACAGTTCGAGCATTGGATGCGAGTAAAGAGCCTCTGTGGGTTGAATGTCTTAAACCCTGGGGCAAGAAGCTCCTTTGTACACACACGTACGCACACACCAGCTCAGTAAAATGAGAACAAGCAGCAATGCGAGATCTTCGCAACTTAGGCAGCCCGCTCGATGAATTCTGGCGGCAGTTGGCCGCCTTAAAGTGCAGTCGAGCTACACTTGCCACACCGCGGCCAGCAAAGCAGACCGGCTGCTAACCACAGGAGCTGCGTCTTCACATCGGTCACGCAGTATCACAATCGCATAAACAAACCACACCGACACCGTGCCCTTTCCAGAGAAAATATCAGCCGTGTTCCACACTTGCTATCGACTACATGGATGTCGTCAGCTCGCGTCCTTCCGCGTCATCACTGGCCTAGCTAAGTACATCGTCCCGTCTCCCGGCGCGTCCGGCGGACGAAGCTAGTGATACCACAGCCGAATGTTGCCACTTTCCGCCGGTAGATCGCGCTAGTGCCACCGTGCGCTCCGCACGGACGGAGAGCGGCCGCCGCCGGCAACGACGGCATATCACCGGGAGGCCAGCAGCAGACAGCTGAGCAGCCAGCTGACGGCACCGGCGGCCAGCTGAGCGCCGAGGGAGCGGGTGGTGGACGCCTCGGCCCGGCAGTCCCCTGTGGGTCACGGCAATGGCGTCAAGGAACACCGGTGTTAGGGCCTCCTCACAACGGTGGACTCAGGGCGCCCACCCGTCCCAAGCCAGTGAGTCACACGGGCAGAGATCGCCCAGAAAACTGAAGCCAAAAGCCATTAGCGCAGCCATAGATGGAAAGTTGGGAGAGCGGCCGATCTCTCAACGGAAAAAATATGGTGACTGGGCTGAGTTTCGCAGCCTTGGCTCGGCCTCTGCCGTGCGGCCGCTCCACATCCCGCCACTAGATGGCAGGGTAGTGCGATCAGGCAACGTGTGACACCTGACACCGTACTTGTCACGTGAACAACGTTCTCGAAAGCCGTACTTCACCGACAATAAATCAACATTAACAAATTATCAGCCAGGACCGCATGCAGGCACTTCGATACACCATCCATGTGAATAATGCTCTTCAACCCGGGAGGGAAGTTTCAGCTGTGCTCGACACCTGATCTGCACATGACAACCAAATGAAATCAATTTCGAAATCCTGAATACATAACAAATTAGAAAAGGCGCATACCTATTTAAAAAAGATTCTACTGAGCACAACGGAGACTCGCTTACCATCGCTTACCATTTCCTAAACACGAAAGTATTTATGTCACCGATGAAAAACCACACGACGGGGCATGCGGCCTAGGACCGGGTATTCCGAGACACCAGTGTCACCTTGACACCTGACCAGGGGCGCAAGCCAAAAGTTGCCACGGATGGGGAGAGATTTTATTTACAAACGGGTCTCAGACCTATTGACAGCACCTACGCACTGCAAACGGACTAGCAGGTCCCACGTATGCTCATAGGTACAGTGCCGAGCGTATCAATGAGCTGTCAAGTTGGTTTGCGCTGGTGTCTTCAAATTGTTTCAGCTGCGTACCGTACATATTCGCTTGGATTTCCGCTAATCCTGTCATCAGCCTACTAGATGTCGCCTTCCATGGTAGTGTCAATGGTAGTTAAGCCACACTAGCTTTCCTGATCACCAGATTCCGGAATTATATTCAGTAGTGCCGGGTGAAAAACTGCACTCAAACCTGACGACGGAGGGGGCCAAACACCCCTTGGCTGCGCCATTGTGCCTGATGTTACGTTCCCAGATTTGGAGAAAAGCGGACTACAATAAAACACCGGTTTTAATTTCCAGCCACCATCTTGTTCCCGTTTCGCATCAGTTTACTCCCGGAATAAAGGGAACTGGAGCCGTCAAAAATGCCCGTACGCGTCTTTTTTGTCCCTGCTGTTGTCTCGAAGCCTTGGGAGGAAAGTCGACAATACATAAACAATAAAACAGATTTACAATAGCGAACTAATCGTAGGAACAACATTGCAGAGAGCATTTCATGAAGATCCAATACATTTCAGATGACGCAGTGGGCTTAGAATATGAATTGGGACACATTCGGCAACAAAAAATCTAACACTTTGAGGTTTGGTTCAAGCGACTGCTACAATCACTCGCTTACAAGTGAATGATGGCGTTGCCACAGAGGCAGCATATGTTCGTAGTGATTCTGATGATTTGGATACCGTTCCACTATTTTCCTGGCGGCCGGAAGTGAATGCAGAGTGAACGAAAAACACTGCCATCGGGTCCGGCCGAAAGCTTACCTGGTGGAGATTCAGGCCAAGCGCGGGAGATCGTCCGCGCCCCATAGTTACGCAACACTGCAATCTGATCCGGCCGAAAGCTGGCCTGGCGGAGATTCGAGCCAGGCACAGGAGATCGTTTGCGTGGCATGGTTTATCTTCCACGCTGTACAGCTCTTAGCTGCGAATTGGCCGATTGCTGGAGCATGAATACCGGACAAGGCAGACTTTCCACTGTATAAGGCTTGGGTGACCGCACAAGACTTACCATCAATGGTCACATTGAAGGCGAGAGTGCCTTCTCGGCCGAGAGCAATGTTTCTGTAGCAGGCCCTTTGAAGTGTGGAGAAGTGGAGACCCTCGCTTGTCGCCATAGAGACGAAACAGACGCGCCTCGCCTGTGTTGCTGGCTGACCGACCAGAGATGTCACCAGGTAATGGGTGCCATTTTCCTCCCAGTTTCCATGGCAACGGTATTCTGTCATCAGAGAACACACACAGACCCGGGTAAGGAGACTCCGTAGTCCATAAAATAGAGTCGGGATGCCTTTAATTTGAGTAGTAGGAGCCTGATATTGCCATACAAGCAGAACAGTCAAAACGGGTGTACACCATTTAGCGCAAGAATGATGTGACAGTCGTTTCGGCGTTTGATACAAAATATGAGTCACACCCCAATACCGTGTTTGGTAGTTTCATGCAGATGTAACTCAGATCTAAACGTATCGCACCAAATATATGACGGATTGTAATAGTGGAAGGGGAGGGGGGTCAAGAGGCGCCGACTTCTTTTGTCATTCTGCGATTGCAAATCCAAGATCACGTGAGATTTAAGTGTCCATTACAACAGCGCCGGCTTTGGTCGACTTCACGCGCCGAAATCCCTTTTCACAATTCAGCGGACAGAACCGTTCTCCAGGAAGGCCACCTGACACCATCGGTCCCACAAACATCTCAGCACCCGCTTCAGGACATTGCAACCATCGATCGCGCCTCCAGATGTCCCCCTCACGACCATCACTGACAGGACCCGGATATTACCCACGTCAAGCCGCGGCCCGCCCCAGGCGACGCGGGTCACCACCTGCGGTCGCAGCGCATGGCGGCGCCTCACCGGTGGAGCGCGTCCCCTGACGGCACTCGGGGCGCCAGGGGACGGATATTACCCACGTCAAGCCGCGGCCCGCCCCAGGCGACGCGGGTCACCACCTGCGGTCGCGGCGCGTGGCGGCGCCTCACCGGTGGAGCGCGTCCCCTGACGGCACTCGGAGCGCAGCTGAAGCGTGTCCGAGCTGCTGCAGCCCATCACCAGCGTGCTGAACGCGTCTGAGCAGGTGTCACGCACGGCGCGGCCCTCACGCCTCACGCCGATCACGGCGTGACGGCCCAGGTACGGACACGGGTGACCCGGCAGGCCGGACGCTGTGAAGAAGGAGCGGCGGCGATGAGCGCGGGCCGGCGGGCGCGCCACCGACGACGCGGAGGCGCTCGATTTGATTATAGGGAGCTGTGAAGAGGCACCATGTTTTTCTAATGCAGGCCATTCTAACGCAGTAGACAAGACCAGAGTCAACCCCACACGACATACGGCATAGCACAGGGATGGTAGCAACTTCATACAAAGATTCGCCTCGCTTCATTTATGCCCACGCAATCAGAAGCGCATTGATTTGTCACCGTCTCAGTGCGATGTTCTACGTCTTCCACCCACGGGTCTCGCCGAGATTCCTCACGCCGCATCACGTCCTCACGCCACGTCTCACGCCCCGTCACGCCGACCCAGAAGCCCCGCCTCCGGGGAGGAGAGGACCTTCACAGCATAAAGACGCCAACAAAACACTTTTGTCTCCGTTCAACGTCGGTAATTAAATCTGCGCCGAGACAAAAGGAGGAAAGTTGGGGCTGCGCGGCCGCGTCGCCGAGGCGAGATGAAACAAACACGACGGATCCCGCTCACCCGGGTCAGACGAGCCGACAAAAACTGGGCAGGAAGCTGAAGCGGAAAAAAACCACAATCTGAGCGTTGGGGAACACCTCAGGCTCCAAACATCTAGTGCGTCCGGTTAAAGTGGACGCACGAGCAGTAGGGTGCCGACACGAGTAGTGGGGTGCGGGATACAGCCCGATGACAGGGCGGTATGCAGGACCACAACACGTATACACAATAGCGCAGGCGGGGGGCACGGGAGGCGCGTGCCCCTTCCGCCTTAATTTCCCAGATTCGGGCCCCTCGGGACCTACGATTAAGGGTCCGAAAGGCCGACCGGAGTTATATTCAGGGGCCCGGCCCGCTGGGCCAGACACTCCAACGCCAGCCGGAGGACCCTGCGCGCTGATCAGGAGCCACCTGAGTCGATTAAGGCCTATATATCAGTCAGACACCACCAATAACGCCCAGTCGGCCCCGTGTCGGCACGGGCCTGAGGGCCCACTTCGCAAGCAGGGACAGAGCCGGGGCCAGCAATGTACTTTGGTCGGGGCCTCAGCGTTTGTCAGGGCCCCACAGCGCTTGCTAGGGGCCCTGTGCACCTGATACAGGCCCCCAAATAACAGTCATAGCGCCTTTTGCGCCGATCGGGGATCCCCTGAGTCATCATGGGCCTGTATGTCGGTCAGGCACCACCAGTACCACGCAGCCGGCTCCGAGTCGGTATGGGCCTGTATGTCGGTCAGGCACCACCAGTACCACGCAGCCGGCTCCGAGTCGGTATGGGCCTGTATGTCGGTCAGGCACCACCAGTGCCTCGCAGCCGGCTCCGAGTCGGTATGGGCCTGTACTGTCGGTCAGGCACCACCAGTACCACGCAGCCGGCTCCGAGTCGGTATGGGCCTGTATGTCGGTCAGGCACCACCAGTACCACGCAGCCGGCTCCGAGTCGGTATGGGCCTGTATGTCGGTCAGGCACCACCAGTGCCTCGCAGCCGGCTCCGTGTCGGTATGGGCCTGTATGTCGGTCAGGCACCACCAGTGCCTCGCAGCCGGCTCCGAGTCGGTATGGGCCTGACGGCCCACTTCCCAAGCAACAAAACCGGGGCCAGCGATTCACACTGGTCGGGGCCCCTGTATCTGCCGGGGGTTCATAGTGCTTAGCAAAGGGTCCTGTGTTCGAAACGGGCCCCGAGTCGAGCAAGGGTAGTGTTCGATGGGGCTTGAAGAGGGGCCCGAGCGGCCTACCGCAACCGACGACCAAGGGCTCGGTTGGAAGGCATAATGGGCCGAAGGACTGGCTGGACAGTCGGCTCCGTGTCAGTCTGAGCTCTTGGGAGCCCATTTTTCAAGCAGCGACAAGGCCGGGCCCGCAATTAACATTGGTCATGGCCCCTGCAACAATGTGGGGCTTCCGTATCTGTCAGGGGCCCAGAGGCCAACGCGGTGTCCTGTGTCAACAAGAGGCCTCGAGTTGGTTTGGGGAACATTTGCTCAACAGGGATGGGCACGGGACCCCGAATGACAGTAGACTGAGTTGCTCAGGGCCCTCTAAAAATGAAAGGAAACATGAGAACCTATGATGAGTTTTCATCTTAAGAAAATGGAAGGATTCTGTCATGTCATGTCATGATGTCAGTCAGAGCCCCCAGCGCCGAACGGTGGGCCTTTCAACCCAATTCCAGCATGGGTCTGTTAAACCTAGCTGGAGTCTATGTGCAAATTATTGGGCCATCTACGGCGATTAGAGATAATGTTGCGTCATTGAGGGTTCCTGTGCCGATCCAGGGCCGACTGCGCGGGTCAGAAGCCTACCACATCAGAGAGGGGTCGAATGTGACCTGATATATCCATCTAAGAACCTCCAGGGATCCCGCCATTTCGCCAGAATGGCAATCAGAAAACACCACACAGTGGGACGATGTGACCCTTCGGCCCTTGACCGGAACAATAATGTGCCTCTAGTGTTGGCTCCCATTACTGAATACAGTGCGCCGAAATGAGTTAAAAAAAACACCCAAGGCCATCTCACGTTTGTCCAATAGTCTTCATTCTTTTGCAGAATCGACTGATGAAGCACATTACATCAAAATGTTTGAGCCTGCGCGTCCACAATTTCAGAAGCAACGACAGCCATGGTCTGGGTTGCAGTTTCGGTAAAACTGAACGGCGTTGGCCATCCGAAGTAATACCAGGAGGCGGGCAGCGTGCGCGCGAGAACGACTGTCGTGAAATAGTGGTTTCGAATGTCTTTGAAAATCCAATTGTATTTTTCAAAAATTAGAGTGGGCGTGCCTTTTTCAGAACTTCGAGGTTGTCTACCGGACAGATTAACAGCAACAGCGACACAAAAACTAGAGATTCTACCTTTACTCTTCCAGTTCCACCATCACATTCCATCAACATTTCGTGGCGCTGTAAAGGCCAATGCGGTTTCATCATCAATCTAAAAATCGCACCGGTGAAATATACGCCCGACTATCTTCTAAACGTACGACTTGGCCTACAACGTTCAAAAGTACTTCTTTCAGATGCGTCATCATTCTCGTCTAAACGTTACCTACGACTTAGTGTTAGCCACGAAACCGACGCTGTGCGGTCAACGGAGACTTCAACGCCAGCCGTCGAAGTTTCTGTTGCTCAGATTTGCGAACGCGCATGCTCAAAGCTACACTACATAATTTGTCAGCCAACAGAGACTTCAACGCCTGGCGTCGAAGCTTTGTTGCTCAGATTTGCGAGCGCGCATGCTGAAAGCTTTGTTACATGATTTGCATCACTAATAGATTCTGACCGTGTGTTGAACATTTCCAGACAAACATAGCCTGGCCATGCTCATACAAATTGTTGGCCCATTTCGATCTACAATCTACATTCACGGGGCCCTAATATCCATGCCGAACCCATACAAATTCCGACATAGCTTCGGAGCTCTATCGGTTTAAAAAGAGTTCACTAAATCATCGTAAAATAAAAAGGACCGGGGATTTAATATCATGCAACCGATAAACGCATGTCTTCTTCAGTTCATTGATTATAAAACTGACGCGGGATTTATCTCGCGGTGACTTCTGGCCTCAATACCGCTTAAAAGGAAACAAACGAGCAAATGAAAGAAAAACACGCCCGTGTTAACAAACCACATCGTACGATTTTTGGGGGCGTTTCTCTATCAGGGGTCCTTTGTACACCTTATACTCCCCCCCCCTTGCCAAGGTTCCGGCTGCGCGCCTGTGTATGCAGCGGCTACCGGTGGGTAATACACTGCTGGCCGTACATAAACTGCACGATCCACCTATCGACGCGAATCCCTTTCATCGAAAACACTGGCGCATCAGCATTTGGTCCCGAGATGTCCGACTCACGGCGTCAGTGCTCCCCTCCGCATATGCCCGATCTCTTCGTGCGGAAGGCTTGATGCGACCCAGTGAAGGGTAACATCACCGAGATCGACCAACAATGGAGCTGTCCTGGCCAGACAGCGACGCTCGCACCGCCCCGCCGCCGCACCGACGGGGGACGCAGTGGAGCGGCGCTTGCCCTCACAGTCAACGACGGCCATGGTAGAGGCGAACGAGACGCATCGCAAGGGTACCACTTTGAAACGTGTCTTACAAGTCACTTCCCTTTCCGCGACTTTGCTATTGGTCCGCCATCGCTATACACCGCTATACCTTTGTCATGGGCTGAGACACGCCTTTGTTCACTTATGTATGACCTATGCTTGTTCACTTGGGTTAACGTCAGCCGGATTCCAACGGCGTTTTACTGGATTTCCACTCAGGTTCATGAGCCACATGCGAACGGTGGCGTTCCGAAGCGCATGACTACCCACCGACAAGCGTGGTGAAGTTGTGCCGTCTCTCGTCGAAGAAGTGGCAGGCGGCGTCCGGCGAGTCGATCGGGTCGCCTGTGAACAGAACCATGTGATGATGTAATGCAAGCGTAAATACACGTGGACGGGACCTCGTAGCTGCCCAGGCGGTTCACCATCTCGTACGACAGAGGGGGACACCCCAAATCAAAGGCTTCCAGAGACGTGCCAGGCGTGACGACGCGGCCCGCGCACACTTGCAGGTAGTCAAACGCCACAAAAGCGCAGGATGACTTCCAGCAAACTGATATTGTACATCACCGCATGGGAATACCGCTAGAGGAAGTTTTGAGACCTTTCGATTTGTGCCATCACAATTGGCAAGTAATTCGACAGCAGATAAGACTAACTCATGACACTTCGAGAGCGCTGCAGACGGACGCAGAGTAACTTCGCAGAAGCTTGGCTGGGCGTCCGTCTTCGGAGATTCGCTGGCTTCCATCACTTACCCAGTTTGATCTCAACGACGTTTCCGTCCCGCCTGTACAGCAGGGCACACTGGTATTTGCTGATGCTGAAACACGACAGCCACTGTCATCGTCTATTGATACATATGCGTAAACCATTACAGACAAATTGACTCAAAACACTTGAACAGAACGGTACGATAGTCTCCAATTCGCAGCAATTTCACAAAGCCAAAGGTGTCTGTGGAAGAATTCGCTACTGTGACCGTTACAGATGAATGGTACACGCATTTTACAGACAAAAAACGCCCTCGTTTTGCCATGCCACCTTAGCTCGTTTCAACGCGTTTGCCATTTAACTTGCCGAACTCAATCTGACTTTCATCAGTCTTTTATTTGGCAAAACTTCAGTCCTTTTTGGGAAACCGCTGGGGCACGTCTAGCCTCCGTACAGCGCATCCTTTGGAGGGCCCATGCCACTGTTGACGACAGGGAAATATTTGCATCACGATGGTAACGCAACCGTTTAAAACAGTGGTGCATCTATCGCGGTGTCAATGTTGCTGTTTCTAACAATAAAATATGTGCCGCAGTTTCTTTAAGTTCCGCCTATTTTTGACAAGCTTCTGCCACACACCTCATGTAAACTGCGTGTTCGGGTGATGTCATGTAAGCCATTTTACGATAGCATGTGCAGAAACAAACCAACTCCACCGATTAGACGGTAAACACGCCCCGCGCGGGACGAGGGTGCAGTTTCGCCTCGGTGGGGAATTTATACCAAGCGGAACAATCGCCGTTTTAAAGCGATCCCCACCGCATGTGCTGTAGTAATTGGTCCTGTCACAGGATGAGCTGAGGAGGGGGATATAAGAGCGGAGCAAATTATTCAACGGCATGGGGCAGGGTATGTCACCTCCCTCTTCTCAGAATCATCAATCACGGCACCAGGGAATGTCGCCTGCAGACGACAACTGTCGTCTCAAGCCAGCATGTGCTGTCATAAGTTGAGAGGCGTGGGGATTCATTAACCGAGTGTTTATTTGGAACAGGCCAGTAACGTCTCTCGCGCACGGCCAGCGCTCTACTGAACAGCCCCCGCGTGCCTCACACCAGCAGGGGGAGTCATCCCACAGCAACGCCGCTGGGCCCTGTACCGTTTGAGGCGCCCCGCACATCCTACCGCTACGCTATCGTCGTTAATTCCGTGCGCATCCCGGGGCCGGTTAAGCCAAACGCCCCCATTCACGTCTAAACGGCGTGTCGTAATTTATGGACAGCCCTAAAGACTGTGGGCCGTCAAATTAAAAACGCTCCGTACACACAGGCAAATAGTGTCCCGCCGTGCGCGCGCCAGTTTAATTAAGACAGAAGAGGTCGGCGCGCCCGGGCCTTTTTAATAAAACTATCGCGAATCATTTGCGGCGCGGCGCGGCGCGGCGCCGGGACGTCGGCCGTCCCACGACGGTCGGGTGACCCCTTTGCCAGCCCCTCGGCGCCCGGGGAGGCTGTTGGCTGGCTTCGGAAGCCTGCCGCCAGTTGGACGCTGATTGACTCGGTCATGTGAGGATAATTGGGCTCGGTGCGGGCCGTTTGCCCCGCCCTCGGACAGGCTGCACTCTCTCGGTCGGGCAGCGGCGCAGGCGGGAGGGGAGGGGCAGGCGATGGCTGGGCGATGACGAGGACGTCTGGCGGTGCGAGCCCAGGCATGGCTGCCGCTGTGTGTGCATCGCTGGGATGCGCGCCAGCTGCCGCCGACCGGTAGGTGGTTTGCGAACGTACCAGCTGATTGGGACGATTTTTGTCTTCTCTTATGCCTGGGACCGATGCCAGCCGGACTATATTTGCGTGCGTCGCACATTGCAAATGAACGTCACCAGCAGACCAAAGTGTACGGATTTATACTCCATAAAACTACCGTTCCCATGTGCGAACTAGGTCATCAGTAAAAGTGATTTACGAACTGCACCGTGAAGATAGGTTGGCAACACCCCAGGATCAACACGACGGTCACAACGATTCGGACTCGCTCGCGTTCATCGGGTGAAGGGCACACGAGGCCGCCGCCACCGACGACGTCCTGCTGGATGTTGACCAAGCTGCAGCATGAAGACAGGGAGCCAACACCAACATCCGCGAACGGCGCCACTTGTGCAGCTTCGGGACCGGCGGGCGGCCCGCCACAGCGACTGTGTTTGACAGGCGCAGGACAGCGGCTCGCCGATCGATAATCAGCCGCTCACTATCAAATCGCCGGATCGACCTGGGCCACATGACCTGACCTGGACCTGGGCCACATGACCTGACCTGGACCTGGGCCACATGCTGTCACGGCGAGCTTCACCAGGCGATGACGTCTGCGTCCGACAGAAGCAGAGTGACGTGCAATTTATAAGGGATGCCGTCAAACCGAAAGCACAGAGTACGCATGTGTGCAAGCGTCTGCTCGCCGTCTGCCCGATCTCCTAAGACGACCCATCGTTCAGTGACCGCCACGCAAAGGAAAGGAAAACCGCCACGAAAAACCACACGTCAGTACCCTTGATCCGGGCAAACCACCGCGCAAAACCACACATCAGTTCCCTTAATCCGGGAAAACCACAACGCAAAACCGCACATCAACACCCTTGATCCGAGAAAACCGCCACGTAAAACCACATATCAATACTTTTGATCAGGGAAACCAGCACGCAAAGCCGTACATCAGTACCCTTGATCCGAGAAATATCGCGTACGATGATTATCGGGGGGAGGACAATAATGATGTTGATTTAGCGAGGGGAAGACCAATGATTCACTTAAACTAGAACCGCAATTCTGTTCCATTTGCAAAGGAAATGGGTATTCAGGCGATAAACCTACACTACCTCAGTAACTCAATATTGCAGGTTTGGAAACAAAACAAACCAGCTGTCAGAACGCAGACACATGGCATGAAACGGCAGCTGCGAGCCAAGAACAGACAGAGCCCGTGCATCTGCGCGCTACACAACTCCAACGGCTCCCTTATCGCCCGTTCCACTCGGGCGTCCTCGGTCTGACCAGCCCGGCCAGCGCGTCGCCGCGCCGAGACGGCCGTAACTAGCCGACTGGGCGGCCGCGGCCGTAACTAGCCGACTCGGCGGCGGCGGAGGGCTGGCGCGCCTAGTCATGCTATGATGGATTCGGGCCGGCCCGTATCTAGACGAGTCCAAGCGCGCCGGCCGCCACCATTACCATAATTGGCAGATGCTATCGGAGGCACCGCGGTCGGATCGGCCCGCTAGTACGGCCGGAACAAAGATACGGCCCGACCAGGGCGGGGCGGCCGTCCGAGGGGCTTCCAAACGCCTCGCGCGCGCCCATCAGTGTCACCGGCGTGCAGAAACGGCGTCAGAAAAGCCAACTCAAGTAGCGGGACGACGGACAGCGTGTTGCACGACCAGGTGACGTCATTGGGGTCGCATGTTTGACAGGATAGCGTGGCGCGAGCTTTGATGGGTCATAAATGATAACATAGCTAATGTGACTAGGTTCAGTGCGTTCTTCATTCCTGCGCAAGACTGGTTGGCTGTGAGCGGTATGAATCTGGAGCACTTCACAAGAAAGGCCGCAGACAATGCCTGAGCGGCCATCTGATGTGTGACCGGGCGTGCCCGGCCTTAGCCCCTGGCACATTGGGACCAGGGGACAGCTGACGCTCCGCTCTGACTCAGGTCTGGGTGAGTCAGGTCCACACATGGGTCTGGCTGAGTCAGGTCTGTACATAGGTCTGGGTGAGTTAGGTCCGCACACAGGTCCGGGTGGGTCGGGTCAGCACATAGGTCTGGGTGGGCCGGGTCGGCACATATGTCTGGGTGGGTCGGGTCCGCACATAGGTCCGGGTGGGTCGGATCTGCACATAGGTCCGGGTGAGTCGGATCTGCACATAGGTCTGGGTGGGTCGGATCTGCACATAAGTCCGGGTGAGTCGGATCTGCACATAGGCCCGGGTGAGTCAGGTCCGCACATGGGTCTGGCTGAGTCAGGTCTGTACATAGGTCTGGGTGAGTTAGGTCCGCACATAGGTCCGGGTGGGTCGGGTCAGCACATAGGTCCGGGTGGGTCGGGTCCGCACATAGGTCTGGGTGGGTCGGGTCAGCACATAGGTCCGGGTGGGTCGGATCTGCGCATAGGTCTGGGAAAGCTGGGCCTGCATGTCAGCACATAGGTCTGGGTGGGTTGGGTCTGCACATAGGTCTGGGTGGGTCGGGTTAGCACATAGGTCTGGGTGGGTTGGGTCTGCACATAGGTCTGGGTGGGTCGGGTCTGCACACAGGTCTGGGCGAGTTGGGTGTGCACGTAGGTCTGGGTGGGTCGGGTCAGCGCACAGGCCTGGGTGGGTTGGGTCTGCACATGCTCCAAGTTCGGCCAGCCAGTGTGGCAAGCACGCAAGCGAACGGACACGAGCCGCGAGCGGCCCGCAGCATGCTCACCAGTCCCGGCTGCGGTGAAAGACAAGCTTGACGACCCGATCCGTCTCGTGCACCACGCGGCTGCACACCAGTTTGGTCGTCTCGTTCCTCGGCCCCGCAGACGACGAACTGGAAAGCGCGGTGCGAGTCATACCTGCCACTCTTGTCCAGACAAACCAAATCACACGTATCGCCAAGCCGAGGGTGAGTCCCTGCCTTTCGTCGCCCACAAACGCATCACCTAAATCAGGAGCAAACAAAAACAGGGCGGTTGATCGAACGACCAAAGAATGACACCCATGGCTCTAGTCCAGCTAATGGTCCTGCAGCAGAAGCACCATAACGGCTCCCATAGAAGTACGCGCCGAGACGCAAGTGGGTAATTTATAGCTGTACAATCGTAATCGGCCAATGTAATCGGGCCGGCCAAGACATGGGCTGAATAATTCAGTGCGTCAGAATGAAAAGACACCAGCAGCATGCGTCAGCAAGACCTATGCGTTATGCATGCTTCAAACAATTACACACAGGGGGTAAATAAACATCCATATTCAAGGTGCATCGCTAAACCTACTAAGCCACGAGGGTGCAATTTGCATTCCACATTTGTTGGCTCGACAATCATACTTCTGAGAAATTGTGACATCGAAATGGGTCTATTGATCGGCATTGTCTCAAAAGACTGGGGTAAATTGCCTCGACTGTCGACCTGGGCCATAAGCGGCTGGGCCACAGCATGGAATTGCACCGGGGCTGCGCGCTGCCGCATAGTACCTGGCGCGGTGGTGTTCCTTGCCACTTCAAAACACAACATAGCGATCTGACCAACACCATGCATACTACCAATCAACTGTGGGTGACCTTACAGCACCTGCATAGTTCGTAGTGATGAATGTCACCATCCGCAATACGTCTTTTGCGGTGGAACTAAAAAAGCATCCGACGACGAGACTCGAACCCACGATCCCTCGGTCGTGAGATTCCCTTCATCATTGCCTGAGTCACGACGTCATTCATCTTCTCATCAGCCACAAACAGAGCAGTGCTAGCTCGTAGATGACTCACCGGGCAAAGTCGGTGACTTTCACGGAGTGGTTTTTGTGGAAGATATGGTAGCGCTGCGACCAATCCATGCTGTGCCACTCGTGGTGCGCGACGAACCAGTCTGGCAGCCTGCACTTCGCCGTGCTGTGCTTATCTGAAACACCGTCTCAGGCCGGTGATGTCGCAGTTCTCTGAACAGGGCCAATCTGCAGAGACCACACTGCCACGACACACGTCATGCGCCGCTTTATCATATTCATTTGCTTGTTTAGGTCTGAGTGGCTTTGGCTATCTCGATCCCATGCCGTTCACAGACCGTCGTAATGTACACTAACTGGTCATATCGAACGCTATCCGAGCGCTGTGGTCAAACAAAGACGGAGGCAGACGGGTGACAAATGGGCGGAGTATTTCCTGAGCCCAGCGACGGCTCATAAGACCGATATTTGGACATATGCGGGGATGGCGAGCCGCTTCGAAGGCCGGCTTCCAAAGCGCATAACCAAGTCAAGTGGCAAAACAATGTATGACAACTTCAAGAATCTTGTGTGACTGCTGTCAACTAACTGAATCGCATTCTACGCATATGTATGACGAAGTAAACTTCCCTCTCTCAACGCGTCCAGAACACACACACACACACACACACACACACACACACACACACACACACACACACACACACACACACACACACACACACCACACACACACACACACACACACACACACACACACACACACACACACACACACACACACACACACACCACACACACACACACACACACACACACCACACACACACACACACACACACACACACACACACACACACACACACACACACACACACACACACACACACACACACACACACACACACACACACACACACACACACACACACACACACACACACACACACACACACACACACACACACACACACACACACACACACACACACACACACACCACACACACACACACACACACACACACACACACACACACACACACACACACACACACACACACACACACACACACACACACACACACACACACACACACACACACACACACACACACACACACACACACACACACACACACACACACACACACACACACACACACACACACACACACACACACACACACACACACACCACACACACACACACACACACACACACACACACACACACACGCACGCACGCACGTACGCACGCACGCACGCACGCACGCACGCACGCACGCACGCACGCACGCACGCACGCCGGCCGGCTCCGCAGCGTGCCAGCGCTCCGACCCGCACTCACCGTCGTACAGGTTCATGACCTTGTGGCCGTCGTGCACAGACTGCAGGCCCTGGCAGGTCGAGTCGCCGGACTGCACCACGTGATAACCTCGCTGGTTGTGGCCGTGGTCGAACCGCTGATAGATGAAGCAGCGGTACCTGGCCGGAGCACAGCAGTCACCGTCAGGCAGCGGGTGCCAGCGGATGTGAACGATGGCAACATCTAGGGCAGCACGGCTAATGGTTTCCCCGATCGGCCACAACTGTCAGAATGTGCAGCCGAGCAACAGCTGCGGCACATAACGCATTGTATCATGCCTTACAGCAGAGCGTGCTCTACAAACTGTCGTACAGACAACCAAATGCCAATAATGCATAACGGACCAAAGGCACCACCACATTCTGGCATCAACCTGTTCATATTCGGCGTAAGGTAGCAAGAAAACGCCTATACACTGTTATAAACCGACCTGGGCTATCCCCAAAACCCTTAAGGTGCTTATATCATGTAAAATCACCTTTCCAAATCCCCTCTCACCGTTTTGTCTGATCACATGACAGATGCCAACAGTTAGAAACAACGCCACACCCCGCCTAATATACGCCTGAAAACATCTCACAACAGAAGCGTGTGTGTACTTAGCCTTCATCAAAAGCGGAGCCTCGATGCCAAGACGTGCGTCTCGGTAATACCCCATCCAAAGACTTTCAGACAAGACCTGACGTCCAGACCCCGTAAATGCACAACATTACCATACATCCTAATCAACCAGAACTTCACACGATCAATCTTCAGGCCGGGGCGCTCCGCACGCCCACCACCATCCCACCACGAGGGTCTGCCCCCGTTGCCTGTCCCACCACAAGGTTCCGCCCCCGCTGTCTGCCACAAGGGTCACAAGGGTCGGCGCCCGTCGGCTGCCCGCCAACCTGTCAGCGTCCGTCTTGGTCTTGACGCTGTCGAGCCGGCCGAACATGAAGTGGGTGTCGTGGTTGCGCCAGGTGGCCAGGCAGGTGAGTTGCTCGGAGAGTCGCTCGGCGCCGGCCACGTCCGGGCACGCCTGATGACGCAGCACCAGTCGCCAGGGCGCCGCGCAGGACGCCACGCGCGAGATGGGCGCGTCGCACACCTTGTCCGAGCGCTTGTAGTCGAACGTGAACGGGCCGCGGAAGGGACAGGGCACCGGCTGCGGTCGCGCGCGCACCATGGTATGCAGCGGCTCGTCGCCGCCGATGGCGCGGCAGACCTGGCGCAGCGACGGCCGGTCCCGGCAGAACCGCGCTGCAGAGGAGCAACAGCGGCATCAGCGGTGTCAGCCGGGCTGCTGGCGAGCCGCGGCGGGGCAGGACGCGTGGCGTAGGCGTAATGGAGTTTTGGTGCTTGAACGAGGTAACGCAGAGACGGGGTGAAGTAACGCAGGCGGTGGCTGAAGAGCATTGTGGGACATTCAAGATGTCACGAAAGGAAGGCTGGCTGACAGAGGCGTAATTAAAGGCATGAGCAGAGCCCGCTTATATAACCGCTGGCTTTCAGAACACGGCAGATACCGTCAGCACACGCGGTGTCGCCCACCGGAGCTGCACAAGCGAGCCAGCGCCGACTAAACGCATCATGATTTAAGTGTGAGCGGACGTACCGTTTTATTTATGCACCACCATTTCCCGAACGCATTATGACGGCAAATGGAGGTACAACGGAGCGGGGGCATACCATCAAATTAAAATGATGGAAAGACCACTTCTTGAAATGGACTCGCGGCGCAAAGTGACTGCCACAAACGGTCTAACATCAGACAAAGGAGTGACGCTAAAGTCCACTGCGCTGTCAGGCGCCTACTTCACGGACGACTGAACTCGCCGACCCACGATCGTGCATATTGTACTAATACGCCATGTTTTGGACCCGATAACTTCGCCGTGAACGAACATGCTCCGACTTCCGGCAATACCACTTCAAAGCAGGAAAACGACGATAAATTTCACGACCGGTATGGATGAAAAGCTTATCTGTGTGTGTTGAGTCAGCACTCTGCCCTCAAGCCAGCCCAGAGCACGCATCACCGGCATCAGACGGAGAAAATGTCCGGCGACGTCACGTCAGATCACACCTCCTCCACGCCAATCAGACCAGATCAAGTCAGGTCGCGGAAGCGGGGCCAGGACCCGGGCGCAGCCGGGACAACACCCCGCCCGCGCGTGCTCGCCGGTCGCCAGCCCAGACCCGGCGGCGTTTTTCCGCGGTGACGTGGTTGCGTGACGGGAGCCGCACGCCGCCGGCGGCGGTAAACAGGTGCGTGCGCGGGCGGGGGTCGATAGCAGAGGCCCGGCCGCCGACTCTGACGCCTGTCGGTCAGCGGCGCCACGCGATCCCCTCTTCGCGCCCAGACGGACTCACTGCGGCGGCCAGAACTGGCTGTACACCGTGGCGGTGCAAAGCGGTTCACTGTGGGGGCCCGAACTGCCTCACATCAGCGGTCCGAGGTGGTTCGCTGCAGGGGCCCGAACTGCTTCACATCGGCGGCCCGAGGTGGTTCACTGCGGGGGCCCGAACTGACTCACTGCGGAGGCGCGAGGTGGTTCACTGCAGGGGCCCGAACTGGCTCACATTGGCGGCCCAAACCGGTTGCCTGCGGCCTGCGCCGGCGGCGGTGACAATAGTCCGGCATGGTGACGGGGTGACGCGGGACTGGCCAGGCGTCACGACCCCTTCCCGGTGGTCTTGGGGCGTCACGCCCCTCCCCGATGATCCTGAGGTATCACTCCCCTCCCCGGTGATCCCGAGCATCACCCCCGGTGGACCGGCCAGGTGTCACGCCGATGGTCTTGACATATCTGTCGGGAATCGGTGGGTGTCGGTGAATCGGCGCGATGTGTTGGATGGTCGCATGGTGCGATGTGCGATGACTAGTGACGTATGCGATGTGCGATGAGCAGTGACGTATGTGATATGCGATGGGCAATGACGTATGCGATGTGCCATGGGCAGTGATATATGCGATGTGTGATGGGCAGTGACGTTTGCGATGTGCGATGGGCAGTGATGTAAATATCGCCAAAATATGTGAGAGGTGGGGCAAAATATGCGCGGCGGGAAGATTCAAATACATTTCATGCCATTTAAGGCGCTTTTGAAGTGCCCGATTTAAAGCGCTCGCTTCGTGTCTCCTCTATCCCATTCAACGCCACTGCACTGGTCTTTCAGACACACCATTTGTTCGGAGCCCTATGCGGAAAATGTGCGTGCATAATACCCGAGGAGTGAATAAATACATCTAAATGGCATACCATCAGGAAGACACACGCCTTTTATGGCCTAAGGTGTAAAGGAGGTGCGTCTAATATCAAACAATTCGCCTGCTTGTGATCTGCATCTTACGACCACGTCAGTTATCGGGCATTGCCTGTGTGCGACCCATAAGCAAAATGCAGAGCAATAAATACCTTGAAGAACGTTGATAAATATCTTTTCAGATGGTGTGTGCTCAACTACCACAGCTTATTAGAACCCATGCGACTCCCAAACTCACAGTGCAAAGCGTTCATTCAATTACAGAATCACAGCTTCAGGAAAAGTGATCCGACTTACACTCCTTAAACTCGATGATGTTGCTGTGCCGTTGGAAAACCACGACGCAGATGTAGCACTTCCTTCTGAAACACGAGAACATCGCTATAAAATGTTTTGCAGCAAGCTGAAAGAGCAAGAGAGGAGCGGGCGAGCGGTGGTTATGTCGCTGCAGGTAAGCGAGGCCGCACAAACGTGTTTCTGTGATGGCTACTGAAACATGCCTTTACCTTGAGCAGGCCATTTTGGGTTTCCACACAAAAATTGTGAAGACCAGGAGGAAGCCAATACCAGTTCCAATATTGAACGACTGAAAGGGAATCTGACCCCATTTATTCGGCGCTTTCCATGAAAACAAAGGATGTTGATCGTAGATCAAAGGAAAACCAACATCACACATGGATGTGCCACAGAAAGACATCTAAACGCTTTTCAGTTCACATCGATTCACACTGAGGCTGCAAATTGAGCCATTTTCAGTAGGGTACTGAAAGTTGAGAAACGTGCCAGTAATGGTATGCTCATAATGATGCAAAAAGTGAGCCACCAACTATACAGACATGTTTCGTCAACGTCACTTCATCAATGCTGTCATCTTGTTTAAAACAAACATACCCCAGTGAATTCATGTTCACGATATTATTGAATTTCTTTTGGCATCTTGTTTTACTTACGTTGCTACCACGTTTCCTTCCTTATTGCGAGCATAACGTTACAAACACATTCTTTCACTGATCCATTTATGTTCAGCGTCGCACTTCGCCACACTCTATGCAGTACAATTTCATGAAAAACAAAAGATATCTCACAGTTGCGAGCTTTTTGTAACGTTCAGCTTGGAAGAGAACGGGCGGGTCAAGCGTGCAGATGCGCTTCCGCATTCCTGTCCGGAAGATGCCCATCATACCAACCACACAGAAAGTTTCGAGGGAAAGCCATAATAATTTTGCAGTAAACTGATCTTTCAATACCATGCTCTACGCTGGAACCCTTGCATATGAAATCCTGCACGGCAGACTGCAAATGACATTAAGCCTCGCGATGCCGCCCAGACTACAGACAGACTTGTCAGGACCTAAAGTCCTCCTGACCACTGCGGCCCAACATGGCCGCCCCCAAGGCGGATGTTCGGCCGCCGCAGCTGCCGACAACCCCACTGTTCCATTATATGGCCGGGGAGCGCAGATTTGATCCGAGGACCCGCCGAAGCCTGATTAATGATCGGCGGCGTCACGTGTCCGGCACCTGAGCGCGCGCTGAAGCGGGGCAATCCGGCCGGCTGCACCAGCGCCGACGGCCCCGGATTAATGGTCCGTGGACTGTTTACTGGCCGCGGGTATTTTTGTGCGGGAGGCGGCGGGGCGGCAGTGGCCGACGCCGCGGACGAGTCGGGCGTGAATGTCTGAGGTCATTAATTCTGCCGCGGGATGCCGGCGGGTGGTGTCAATTTGAGCCGCTTTGTCCGTCGGCGGCTCCCGCTCCGTGCCGCGTGCATTCAGAGGCACCCCGCGCCGACGCCGGCCGCGGCCGCGCCGTCGTTCGCACGCTCTGTCAACCGGCGGAGGTGATGCGCTCTGCGGCCTGAGGAGGGGCCGAACGCGCCCGGACGCTGGACTGAGGCGGAGCGGCCGGCGCAAGCAGTGCCAGAGGCACGGCGCTACCTTTTGAAAACGCGTGAGGTGGCTATATTTTGAAACATGGGCAGGGAAGGAGGATCCCCGAAGGCATTATTCACGTGAGGAATGCAGCTTTCACCGGATGGTACTCAAGGGAAGCAACCGAACCTTATTTTGCGGGCCAGTGGCTCGCGTAAGCAAATTCCACAATTTATGGGCGACATCGATATCAACAAAGGAGTGGAGGGTACGTAAACAACTGGTTGTGCAAAAGTTCATTGCTTTCAAATTGTGGGCTGGAGACGAACGATTAAAAATATGGGGCGACGGCCTCCAGGAAAGTTCGACCACCTCCCACAGGGAACTCACCCTGCTCGTTCCTTCTCGATGAGGAGCTTGATGCCCTGCCTCTCAAGACATCGCCCCTTGGAGCCCAGCACGTCCTCGGTGATGTTGAAGACTGACTCCTTCCAGTACCACTGGCCCAGCCACGATTCCGGGAATCGACACGGCTCATCTGGCGAAGGAAGAGGCGAGAAACGCTGTCAGGTGATGTCGAAACGACGGACGCCGCCCTGCGCAAAGGTCAAGGCTCGATTCTGATTCTGTGTCGCGGGCGTCACTCGTCACAACTCGTCAGCTGGTGAACCAGAGACGAAACACCAAGGTCGCAACGTTGGATAATTTAGAAACTAATTGTATATATATACATTTTGAATGATACAAAGAACCGCCTCCAGCCGTAAGGAATAACGGCAAGGAGGGTGTGGCGGGCCGATCTCGCTGCTCGTTTCTGCTTGGAGTTCTTGGGCACCGCACAACCGAGGTGTCCAACCAATAACCACACGCACTGACGCATAAGCACGCTTATATCTGACGCTCTGTGAAAAACTTGGCGTGGTAGGCTGTGGCTGAGAAAAGCCGCAATGTAGCACTCAGGACGACGCGTGGTGTTACTTGCCGCAAGCGTTTCCACCAGCAAGCTGAAATAATTACTGACAATCCACTTTGACTTGGCGTTTCTACGGAGCCATACTGCGCTTAGACTATACCCATAACGTCCCCCAACACTGCCATAACCATTCGCAGTCTGCGATCAGGTCTCCTGCCGATCCAGCCCAGTTTTGATAGTCGCCGATGGGCACGGGACTATAGAGATTACTGCATCGATTTAGGATGCGCCGGGTAAATTGCCATCGATTGAAGCTGGCGCGCTGAGCCCACCGGCACGTGGCGCCCAAACACAGCGCTTACCGCCGACAGCCCGAGTACGTAAAGTTCGTAATCGCTGATGGCACATAGTCGATATACGGCCGGACGCTGCCGAACGGCTGGATCGATCCAAGTGGGCTCAAGTCGTCCATAATTCAACTCGGCCGGCAGGGATGCCGGGCTATTGTGGTGGCGGGTCGTCCCTGGAGGAGCGCCGCCCCGGCGCTCGCCGCCGACCTCCGGGCAACCTGTTGCCGCCGGGCGCGCGGCAAAAGACCGCCATCCGGGCATCGACCGGCTAATCGCTGCCGTCGTCTCGCCGGCCGCGCGGCGCCGTGTCAATAGCGCGTCCGACGGCCAACCGGCAGAGCTGGGCAACGAGTTAACTGGAGCGACGGACGCAGCGGGAGCGCTGGCGGAACAGACAAGCCGGTGGGGCGAACAGACACACTGGCGGAGCGAACAAACTGGCGGAACGGACGACAGCGACGGCGCCGTCGTCCTGGCGGCACGGGTGAACCACTGGAACTGGTGGAACGAGCCAACTGGCGCCGAGTGAACCGACAGAACTGGTGGAGCCGACAGTTTGGCGGAGCGCTCCCGTGACCCTCCCGGCGCGGCGCGGATCGCATGAGCGAATCGAAGGCCCGGGCGGATACACGGACGCACGATCGCGCGCACGCCGCCACGTGTCGCCGCCGCGCAGATCGCCGCTCGGCACGTGGCGGACGCGGCACGGGACGGGACGGACAATTGCATGGCGCACTCGATCAGCATGAGCCGATGCGTTCGGGGCGGGCGCGCCGGGCAAACAGTGCTCACCAGGGCACAATGAGAGGCTAATGCGAGCGCTACGAGAGGCACTTATGCTGGCGGCCATTAGCACACACCATTGTGCGAAACGGCCCGCCCCTGGGCGCCGAAATCACGCGGGGTGGCCCGAGGAAATGGATACCGCACGACCAATGGCGGGGTTCCGCGCAGCCGCGCCGTGTGCAAAGCGGAACGACACGAAGTAATTGTCTGTACGTGACGCGCAATGGTGCTGTGACAGAAACGTACTGATTGATGATAGACCCCCGCCTCCAACACACACACAGATGAAGTTTGGAGGACAATCTGTTCAAATTGGAACCATCAATATTTACCTCCGCGCGCTCAGTGCTGCACGACCCATTGCGGATGCGCTCGCTGCAGCATACCAACGGCGGAGGACGAGAAACGTTGAACTTATTTTGCACTAAGCCAGTTTGAAATCTTTCAAATACTTGTGCCCGCGGAGTCAGCATCCCGTATTTATTCATGGATGCTGGGCCGTCAATCCCGATTTTGCATGCTTGACAATCAACAGCATTCTGTTCCGACGGCTGCGTTTAACAGCCACCGAGCTCGACGGCTGCACCAGTTTCCAGGCCGTCGGAGCTTCGTATCCTCATCCGAGCTGTCGGAGCTTCGTACCCTCATCCGAGCCGTCTGAGCTTCGTACCCTCATCCGAGCCGTCTGAGCTTCGTACCCCCATCCGAGCCATCGGAGCTCCGTACCCTCATCCGAAATTATTCCGTTACAGGTTTTCCCCAAATTTGAGCCGCGGTCTTGCCGCACACCCCACACTAGTTAACGATACTGGAGACCCTAAATGAGCCACAAGAAATAGAATACGCATGCCATTGCCCATGACGAGAGGTTCATTCTTAGTGAAAACAACTGTGTCAAGGGATTTGAATATCGCTACATAATGTCTTGTAACCCCGAGAAGCCCGATCGCATTTGAGACGAGGTAATACAACCACCACAATTTTGGTACAGCGCTACGGCCTCAGCACCTCTAGACTGGTTTTACTGGCATTACAATGTCAGACTTAAACAGCTAGGCCTGCTCCACTTTCCGCACTACTGCACGCTGCCCACCCGGCTTTGGTCCCCACGCCGACGCCGCATCAGCCCCGCTTCTGAAGCCCAAACCAAATCGGGTCACAGCACTCACATCCGAAGCAAACACCAGAATCCGGTTGATCGGCGTGCCCTGGGTGCACGGGCAGCCTCGGTGTGGGTTACCCCGGTGCCGGGAGGCGGAGGGGCGTGCCCCGCCGGTCGGAGCCGCGCCGGGGCGGTGCCATCGGTGCCGAGGTCGCGCTGACGTCGGGCCCGTATCGTGTTCGCCGCCGTGCAGCCGTAGTGAACGCGCGGCGGTGGAGGATCCGACCCTAACGCCGGGTCCGTCGGCATCCCGCCCTGGCCAGAGACGTGGGATCCCGGCAATGGCTGGAGACGCCGGGAGATCCTGACCCCGACCGCTGGGAGACACAGGGAGGATCTGACCCTGGCGGGAGACGTTGTGGGATCCCGGCCATGGCGGGAGACGCCGGAGGATCCCGACCCCGACCGCTGGGAGACACCGGGAGGATCTGACCCTGGCGGGAGACGTTGTGGGATCCCGGCCATGGCGGGAGACGCCGGAGGATCCCGACCCCGACCGCTGGGAGACACCGGGAGGATCTGACCCTGACGGGACGCATCCGCGAATCCGAGCCCGGCGGGAGACGCTGGAGGATCCGAGGATCCGATCCTGGCATAGAGTTCCGGGAGGACACGACCACGGCGTCGCCATCAGCAAGACCCAGAGGCCAGTCCGCCAGGCTGCCGGCGACAGTGCAGCACGGGCCGGCGGCGGGGCCAGAGCTGCCATCCTGACACGGGACGTCATCGGTTTGTTGCTGTAAGTTGCAAATACTCTGTACTCTTACGGCTCAAGCTTAACGACGATGACATTGGATAAGCTTGCAAGCGTATCCTTATCACCAGCAGGCAAAGATTGACCGCTTCAGCATATGAAAAGTAACAACATGCACTGTTTTCACGTGCTGAAAACCGACACCCGCCTCATGATTTTGTTCACAGCTGTTGTGCGCGCGGCGTGGATAAATATTTTCACGCCGAGCGACCAGCAACCCAGGCGGTCTTTGTCATTCACAGCACTCCCGAAATTCCACACGCCGCCGCGGGGAGGACCATGAATGCCGCACGACAACCCGTCTGCTCCCTCCGTATCGAGTGCACTGGGGCTCAAAGGCACACAATCCCTCGCCCGGCTGGAAACCCGAGCCGGGTCGGCAGCCGGCGGCTCTATGCACACTCCAGCGGCTGTTTTACTTTCACGCCGAGGGCCACTCGACGTTTAATGCGGCTTTGGCCGGCTGCACCGGCGGCCTGGAACAGCATGATTGAACCGAGTGTCTAACGCGGCCCCCGCCATTCACGCGCCCGCCGCGCCGGGCTTCGCAATCAAACGAAGCCCCAGTGTACCACCGACGCGACACCGGGAACTGTTGGATCAAAGGCATGGTGTCCGGTACCCGTGCAGGTCAGCAAGGGTTACAGCCGGTGGTCTGACGGCCGATGCCAGGTGGTTTGTGCTAATTGACAGGTTACACAGATTTGTTTAGGTTCGGGGCGCACAGCACCGAATTAGCTGGAAGTGTGACAAGAGTATTATACCCTTTACTAGTTGACGTTTCAGGGGAGGCAAACACAACAGTTTGGAGTTGGATTGGGTCTCACGTGCGTCTCCTAATATCGCAGCCCTGCTGGCCCGGCTCGTCTGACTCTCACACGAAAACGGCATGTCTACTTGCGGAAACAAACAGAACATATCAGAGTACGGCGGACTTTCGTAGTAGTTTACCGACGCCACACCATCCGTGTTGGCACAGCGAACATAGCGGAACACAGTCCAAACACAAATCCGACTAATTCGACTGAATATTCACGACTCCTAGCAGGAACGCCGGTCTGCGCTTTTCTCCGTAGAATCAAATTCCAGATGCGGTGCGAGCTACCGATATAAGTATTCCCTTGCCAAGCCTTTCGACCACCTGCCAGTGTTCTACCGTGATCACCTGCCAGCGTTCTACCGTGATCACCTGCCTGCGTTCTACCGTAATCACCTGCCCGCTTTCAACCGTGATCACCTGCCTGCGTTCTACCGTGATCACCTGCCTGCGTTCTACCGTAATTCGTCCGCGCTCTACCCGATCACATCGCGGCTGGCAGCCGGTGACGCATCGCCGGACGCGCTGTATCTATATCATCCCCGCACTTCATCGGTAAGCAGATGACGAAGCGCCCGCCGGCGGCGACAGTCGGCACTTGAGAGCGGTGGAGGAGGCTCCTCGAGCAGCAGCCACAACGCAGATGACGACGGCCTCCGAGCCGGAGCGCGACAACCCCTCCCCCCACCCCCTTTCTGCTGGCCGGCCGCTGCTGGTGAGTTCAGGCTGGAGCCGAGCATTCGAATCGAGAACATATGCACGTTATAACGCATATGTAGATTCGGCTTGTTCAAATGGAGAAATTTGGCCCGAAATGCACGGATATATTTGAATACCTAGTGCAACATAGGAAACAATCAACACCGTAAAATGCTTTGCTTGTCGGTGTGTTCTGTCAAACACAATTTTAAAATAGTTTGGCCCGTGAAACACCAAGAACACTTTCACCATCAACAGCCGGTTTTCAACCACATGTACTACAAACACACACAACCATCAGTCGTGCAATGAGGGTTTGCGATGCTTGCGTTAGACCTTGCTGTGAGCGTCAGGCTTCAGTGTTCATGCATGACATCAGGCTCATCCCGCCGTAACGCTGCACCCTGGATGCTGTGCCGCAACACTGGCAGGGCGCTGCATGTACCGCAGGTGTCCAAACAGCCCGTGTCGCAGGTAACACCATTAATGAAGGCTTTAGAGTCGGAGTATATGTTAAGCGTTTAAGCATGTGCCCAAACAAATGTCTTGCAACAGACACGGTTGCTTCGCAAGGTTTGCCTCCCAGTGTTCTGATTTACACAAGCGGCTCAAAATGACGGAATTCCTGCGCCAGCCTTCCATGGAGATCTCCCAGGTAGAAGCTTCACCCCAGAATCCACACTAAAATCATCCTCACTTTTTCCTGGAAGACAAATCCCAATGAGCGGGTGGGATGCAAGCGGACCATTTTGACCACTTATCGGTTGGTGCATGCGAAGAGCTTATCACCCGGCAGGTGGTCCAAAATGCTTGAGCGTTTGACCTAACGCGTCACGGATTTACTACCAGGGAAGAGCAAACACCTTTGAGCGTGACGTGCAATCGACACCGTTTCTGCCCATCGTTTCTGCCCGCCTGTGACCTCTGACAGCATGGCAAAAACCCAATATTCGGACGCCACACTTGATTACCTCTCCAGACATTCACGGACTGAAACCATACCGAAAGCTCAGCTCCATTCC